CCAGTATGCAGACATTACACCCACCAACTGCCCCTGGCGCCGTGTAATCCCATCAATGGCCAAGACCCAGAGACTATAAAACCCTGCTCCCAGAAGAGCGTGGCCGCATGACATCTTATTATCTACTTCTTATTCTGGAGAACCTGGCAGGCTCCAAAAGTTTCCTGCCCACACGACAGAGTCTGGAAAACTCCCCGTGGCGTATTCAATATGCCAAAAGCCAGTAACAATGATGGCTCTCATTCTCCTGACCCTGAAAGAGTCTCGAATGTGGCACTTTTTAAAATATCAGGGCTAGGACGAAGGAGACGTTACTGGGGCCTGCTCAAGGCAAATGATGAACAACAGGATGACAGTGAAGATATAAAAGTTAATGAAGTTAATATGACTATCTAAATATCCACAACCCAGCTTAAGAAATAAAGCATTTCTTTTTTTAATGTCGGAGTATCGCTGATTATTCAATCATTGATTAAAAAATAAAGCACTTAAACCATAATGCCCAAAATGAGAGAAAGAGAATGAAAGAAATAGAAGTGAAGGGCCTGCCATAGAAGCAGAGGAGTGGTTTGGGTGGGGTGGAAGGAAAAGGGGGGACATTGGTGCTGGGAAATTACACTGGTGGAGGGAAGGGATGCATGTTGAAACATTGTATGACTGAAACCCAATCATGAATAGCTTTGTAATGCTCTATCTCATTGTGATTCAATAAAATAAAAAATATCTTAAAAGAAATAAAAGCATTTGTTTATTTTTATTTTTTGGACAACATCCAGCCTTGATCAGGGTTTACTCCTGGCTCTGTGCTCAGAGGTTACTCCTTGAAAACTTGGGGGAACCATATGGGATGCTGAGGATTGAATCCAGGTTGGCTGTGCAAAGCAAGTGCCCTACCCACTGCTCCAATCCCTGTTCATTAATCTTTGTGGATTAATAGCAGTGCTTGTGGGAAGACCATGTGTAATGTTGAGGACCATACTGGGGTCAGCTGTGAGAAAGGAAAGTGCCTTAAGCCCTATACTATCCTTTCAGTTCCAGGAACTAAAACATTATTAACAGGACCAGAGACTGTGAGGGCCTCCTTGCTTATTCTCTCATTACCAGGTTCTGCTTTTAGGCCTTGACACTCCAAACTCTCCAGACTCTCCAAAGGCCCTGGCACATAATTCCCTACCTTTACTGTTATGATGGGCAGGAGCAATAGCACAGAGGGTAGGACGTTTGCCTTACCTGCTGCTGTCCAGGCTGATCTGGGTTTGATTCCTCCACCCCTCTCCAAGAGCCTGGCAAGCTACCGAGAGTATCTCGCTGCCTAACAAATTCTGGCAAGCTCCCCGTAGTGTATTCGATATGCCAAACACAGTAACAAGTTTCACAATGGAGACGTTACTGGGCCCCGCTTGAGCAAGTCTATGAACAACGGGAGGACAGTGCTACAGTGCTACCGTTATGACAAAATAATGCATTCTCTAACAATGCATATGCTTATAATTTTATTTATTTATTTATTTATTTATTTATTTATTTTTGGCTTTTTGGGTCACACTGGTGATGCACAGGGGTTACTCCTGGTTCTGCACTCAGGAAATACCCCTGGCGGTGCTCAGGAGACCATATGGGATGCTGGGAATCGAACCCGGATTGGCCGCGTGCAAGGCAAATGCCCTACCTGCTGTGCTATTGCTCTAGCCCCTATGCTTACAATTTTAAAGATAGTATTTTTTGTAGTCTAATACTTTTTGCTCAGTATTAATTTGGATAGAACCATCATAACAACATGCATATTTCAGTTTGTTTTCATGGCTACAGGGTTTTAAATTTTGAATATAACAATTTATATAGTTTCATTTTTTTGGTGAGCATTTCAGATATTTCCAGATTTCTGGGTGTTTGTTTATTTCTGGATCACATCCATCAGTGTTTGGGGGCTACTCAGGGAGTGTTCTGGGGGCTGTGAGGTACACGGATTGAACCCTGGCCTCCCGTATGCACAGCACGTGCTCCAGCTCTTTGAATTATTTTCCGGACTCCTGTTTCCTGTTCCCTTTGTTATTATAAGCAGTATTTAAAAAAAAAATTTCTTGAACATGGCTCCTTACACATATGCCTGATACATAATTTTTAGGGTGAAAATTCAGTCATAGTTGGGGCATTAGAGATACTCTCTCTAAATTGATTATATTGTCTATTACTTTTTAAAGTGATTTTTAGCTCGTTTCATTCCCACATACGAATAATATTTTTTGTTGTTTCACATCTTTGACAGCATTTTGCCAATTTGATGGATGTGAAACGGTACATCCTTATGGTTTTAACTCATTGTTTCCTAAATACTAAGGAGGCTGGGTAACTACTCATATGCATATGAGGAACCTAGTTTTCCTTCTCTGAGAATTTCCTGACATCTTTTTGTTATTATTCCTGTAGGATTATTAGTGTTTCTGTATTGATTTATAAGAGCTTTTCTTGGGCGGTGCTCCCACAAGGTGCCCGGGGATGGGGAGTAGTAGACCATTCCCAGTGATTTCCTAGTCAGTTGGACCTGCAGGTCAGCGCCCTGGGTGGAGGATGTGGCCCTCTCTGCTAGGTTGCCTGAACCCTGCCAGCAGTGCTGGGGGCCCTCCAGGGCTGATACTTTGTGATGGAGATTGAGCTGAGCTCAGGGCAGGAGCAGCATGCGCCCTAATCCCTGGTCCCATCAGGGTCTTTAACCGTTTGGTGCACTAATTGAATTCCAGACTTTCAGAATTTAAGGCAAATGTCCAGGACTATTTGATGGCCAATGTAAGGAGTCATTTTGACTGGGTCACTTGGTGCTCCTAATGTTGGAGTCATTTTGACTGTGTCACTCAATGCTCCAAATATCTGACTAAAAATTACTGAGGGCATGACTGTGAAGGCATTTCTGCATGAGAAAATATCTGACTCACTGGTAGACTCAGTAAAGCAGAATGTCCTTGCTAAAGTGAGTAGGCCCTATCTAATCAGTTGAAGAGATGAATAGAACAAAAAAGCTTAGTGAGAGGGACTGCCCCAGGCCTGCTCTTTGAACTGGGACATATTTTATTGATCTTTGCTTTGAAACAGAAACATTGGCTCTTCTCTTGTCTTTAATCCCCGGGCTTTCCTCTTGGAACTTTTTTTCAGGCTAGAACTATAGACCAACTCCTCTGATTTTCAGATCCAGGAATTTCTCATCTCATTTAGCCAAGCAAGCAATCTCTTATAATATGATTATAGATTGGAATATTATATAACCCCTCTCACATCCATCATTTCCTAGTAGTTCTGTTTCTTTGGAGGAGACTGATTAATATAACACTAGAAAATCACTTGAACATCAGGGCTCCATTTTCCTCCTGATAACCCCCAATCTGGACACCAGTACAGATGAGGCTCTGCACCTCCGGGTCTGCCAGAGTAGCAGACAGTCCTGATAGGACACAAGCCTTCAGGTGCAAGGAGAGAACTGGGAGTCAGGGAGATGGATTTTTTTATGAGTAAGAATCCAAATCAACCTAACTGAAGGAGACACTTAAATCGGCATTAAACAGAATTGTGTATATAGGAAAGTTTACTTTTTGTTAAAATTTTTTTTGGGGGGCAAGGTTCACACCTGGTGCACCTCAGGGTTTATTCCTGACTCTGTGCTCATGGATCACTCTTGGTGGTGCTTGGGACACCATATGTGGTACTTGCTTGAGTAGACTTGTATTTCTGGTGCCGTTTTCTGATGCCAGAGGATGTGAACAAACTTTGTTCTTGCAGAATCATGGTTGTTTATTTTGACTTATTGGAGCGATAGCACAGCGGGTAGGGCGTTCGCCTTACACGCGGCCAACATGGCCGACCCGAGTTCGATTCCTCCGCCCCTCTCGGAGAGCCCGGCAAGCTACCGAGAGTATTCGATATGCCAAACACAGTAACAACAAAGTCTCCAATGGGGACGTTACTGGGCCTGCTCGAGCAAATCGACGATCAACGGGAGGGCCTTTATCTCTCTCTCTCTTTATCTAAAGACTTATGCATTTAAAATTTTTTTTAATGAATCACTGTGAGGTACAGTTACAAACTTAGAAACTTTCGTGCTCATGTTCCAGTCATACAATGATCGAGTACCTATCCCTCCACCAGTGCCCATTCTCCACCACCAATGTTCCCAGTATCCCTCCCACCACCCCTACCCCATCCCCTCTCACCCACATCCCCACCTCTGTGGCAGGTGCATTCCCTTTTATTCTCTTTCTCTTTTAGGGTGTTGTGGTTTGCAATGCAGGTATTAAGTAGCCATCATTAAGCATTTTTTTCATTAATGAAATCTCATTATATTACTAGTAGACCCTGAAGCTAACCAAATAGAAACTTCAGTGTTTATACACAGCAAGGATAATAGTTCTACCAGTAAGTGGGAAAATATTCCATGTTCGTGGATAGGAAGAATTAGTATTGTCAAATTATTGTCTTACCTAAGCATGATATAGATTCATTGCAATTCCTATCAAAATTCTGGTGATATTCTTTAAGGACATAAAGAAATACTGCATGTTGGCTGCATGCCAGGAAAGCACCTTAAACTCTGCACTATCTCCCAAGCTATAAGAGGACCTGTTTACACTTCCCTGTTACCCCTAGTACTGAGTGGAGAAGAACTCATGAGGAAACTGAGATTAATAGTATAATAAAAAGACTTAAAGAAATTTTTGCACATTTGAGTAAAGGGAATAAACTATAGTACCTTTATAGGTATATTAAAATAATATCTTAAGAAACAAAGCACTTTTGTTGTTCACCTAGATTATTATACTTCAACCTTGTAAACAATCTCCTTTTTGTGTTAGGATTTTTCAATCACTTTTTAACACAACTCACAGCTAAATATTAACACATCTAAATCTATTTCGGAAGGCACAGCTGAGTGTAGGGATTTCGGTTTCACTAAGAAAGAGGGAAAAATTTCAAAGGGATCTGTGAGTGATTCCAACTGTATCACGTCACCTTACCGCTCTCCAAATCCGCTGTCTCGGGCAAATCTCTGGAAAGCACTCATGGGATCCGAGCCTGTGCTTAAGATGAACACCAGCGGAGTGTTGAAGGACATGTCTTGATACAAAGTAGCCAGGTCCACAGGTGGTGTTTCTACAAAGGGCTTCCCAAGATTATCAATGACAAAGTCCGTAACAGCGAAAACCACCTGGGAGAAAGAAAAAACAAAAAGGAAAAGCCCTACTGGATCAAGGCTTTCATCATTTCATTCACTTTGTTCCTGTCAGCGCTTCCGATGCGGGCTCTTCTCCTTCTGCCCTCATTCTCTCTTCATGATGTATATTTATTCCCACAGACACAACTGGGTAGGTTTGTAAACTCACTCGCTGAGATCAGCCAAGGTTCTCATGACTTCACTTGAACAAGAGAAGCCGCTGGCCCCCGGCGTGCAACAACTCTTCACTCCCTCTGTCTGCAACGTGGCCCTCTCCCAGCTGGCCTTCCCTGTCCTGTCCCTCTCTCATTCTTATGGACTTTACTTTCAGTCCCCATTAACTCTTTCTGCATTATTGTTGGTCTCTTCCTTGCTCCTTGATCATACAATTAGGCTGTCCTGCCCTTAAAAGCAAAATAAAAGCCTTTCTTTTTATTTCAGCTCCCCACTTACCATTTCATTTTTTAAAAATGGTACTCACAAGCCAGCATCTCTGGAGGACTGACCCCATCTTCATCTAGCCGTTACTCATCAGTTTCTCCTCACTTTTCCTAGAAACAACCTCAGCCCTAATGATCAAGTCCATGCCTGGCCATTGCCTGAACCCTTGTATTTCCTCAGTGAGCCCCTCAAGTCTACCTACCCTATCTCTGCTCTTGCAGGCCTGTCTCTCCTTATCCCAGATATGGTGTTTGGTGAGAGAGAAAAAAACATCCTGCTTTGTGCCACAAAACTGTTGTGATAACACACAAACCGAGTCTACAATATTGATGCTGTGACTATCTCCCCTAAAGAATAGAGCAACTCTAAGCAAAAATCCTGCTTTAATATTTCCCCCCTATTAGATATTAATCTCATTCTGCTCAATCAAGCTTGACCATGTATTGTTGTTGGTGTAGGAAGACCCTCAACTTAACTTAGGGTCATGGTATTGGCATTATGCCTTTCTGAAACCAACTGGGAAAAGGTTTTCACTTCTTGCTCATTTAAGTGAGGATATTCTAACTGTAAAGGTGCCATGCTACAGAACAAACAGCTGTTCAAAGAAGGCTAAGGGGATTTGGAGCTTCATCTAGCTGTGTCTGTGACTGAGTCTAATTCTAGCATCAATAATTATTTTTATTTAAAATATTTAAAAATTTATTAAAATATTAAAAAAATTGGAATCACCATGAGATATATAGTTACAGAGCTGCTCATGATTGAGTTTCAGTCATACAATGTTCCAACACCCATCCTTTCACCAGTGCACAGTTCCCACCACCAATGTCCCCAGTTTCCCATCCACAACCCCCCACCCTGCCCTCACAGCCTGTCTCTATGGCAGACATGTTTTCTCTCTTAATTCAAAATATTTTAATATGAGCTATGGACTTGCTTTTCTTTGATAAGAAGTGCTCATAGAACTGGCACACATACAAACGAACAAGAGCAACCAGTGCTGGCATAGATGCAGGGAGAAAGAGACCCTCATTCATTGTTGGTGGGAATGCTGACTGGTCCAACTTTTTTGGATAACAATATGAACATTCCTAAAAAAAAAACTAGAAACCGTGCTCCCATTTGACCCAGCAATACCACTTTTGGGAATATACCCTGGGCGTCCAAAGACACATAGCAGAAACACCATCTGCACTCCTCTGCTCATTGCAGCTCTATTCACAATAGCCAGAAGCTGGAAACAACCTGAACACCTGAGAACAGACATATGAATAAAGAAACTATGGCACACCTACAGAGTGGAATACTATACAGCTGTTAGGAAAAATGAGGTCATGAAATTTGCATATAAATAGATGGACTTGGAGAGTACCATGTTGAGTGAAATGAATCAGAAGGAAAGGGACAGACATAGAATGACAGCATTTATTTGTGGAATATAAAAAAAAACCCAGTATGACACTAATATCCAATGCCAGGGAAAATGGGCTGGGAGGACTGGTCAATGGTTGGTCAATGGTGTGGGACATGGAGGGTAGTTAAGATAGGGGAGGGTCCATTATGACAATATTACTCGGAAATTATCACTCTGGACAAAAACTAAGTGTTGAGAGCAGGTAAAGGGATATACATAGTAACCTCTCAGCATTTGTGTCACAGACCATAATGCCTAAAATGAAAGAGAGAAAGAGAAAGAGAGAGAGGAAGTAGAGAAGTGCCTCGCTATAGAGGAAGGCTAGGGTGAAGGGCGGCATAAAGGTGTGGGAGGAAAAACTGGTGCTGGGAAATTACTCTTGTGGAGGGATGGGTGTTGGAACGTTGTATGACTGAAATACAATCATGAAAAATTTTGTAATGCTCTATCTTCACGGTGATTCAATAAATGTTTTTTTCTTGCTTTTTGGGTCACACCCAGCAATGCTCAGGGGTTACTCCTGCCTTTGCACTAAGGAATTACTCCTGGCGGTGCTTGGGGGACAATATGGGATGCCGGGGATCGAACCCCAGTTGGCTGCGTGCAAGGCGAATGCCCTACTCGCTGTGTTATTGCTCTGGCCCCTAAAATTTTTTTTTAAAAAGTGCTCATAGAATTTGCAATCAATGACAAAAAAGGCTATAATTTATTGAGGTTACTATGTAAATACAGGAGTTGTAACACACTCATAAAATTTTTGTGAATTAAAAGAACTGAAAAATGAGTTCTCTTGTACATAGGACAATAGGATAATAATCTATACAGCTAGATTTCCAATGACTTTGATCAGTGAGCTTCTTTTGAGTTTTGGGCCACATCTGCCTATGATACTGCTTGGTTCTAAGGGATAACTCCTGGAAGGACTTAAGGGGACCATATGAAGTGCTGGAGATCCAATCTGGGATGGTGACATGCAAGGTAAGTGCCTTATTTGCTATACCATATCCCAGCCCCACCAATCACCTTATTAATGGATTACCACAAACTATTGTTTACATATGCAATTTCTATATGTATGAATCAATTTTATTCATGAATAATTTAAGTATGTAGAAGATCAATATGAGCAAATACACTCTAAATTAGGTACTGATCTATCTAACATACATCCAGAAATATATATGCTCAAGAACATGGGTAACTATATGGAACACTGAAAAGAAACATATATTTTTTTTAAATGTAGGAGTACTGCTATTTATTCAGCCACTGGTTAGTCTGATTAAATTGTGCATAAACTCCACTTTACTTTTTTCCCCCATTTTAAAAATAATTTTATTTATTGAATCACCGTGAGAGCAGTTACAAAGCTTTCTGGTTTAAGTCTCAGTCATATAATGAAATACCCGTACCTTCACCAGCAAACATATCTTTTAAAGCTGTAGAACTGGTATATGTTGTAGATCAAAACTATAAATTCCCGTATTGATCTGGCATAATGCCTTTTGTTTCACCAGTTAAGTATTGGGTTCAGAAGGATCTCCCCAACCTTATATTAAGTGCTCGGGCGTTCTCAGGATGGTTTGAACCCACTGCTGATCTGATATTCTGAACTGAGAATGCTTCTTTTATGTCTGACAATTATGCTGAGCTGGTAAGAGTATGAAAAATTTCCTGGCTGGCCATTCTTTCTTTTATTTGTCTTTGAACCCAAAGTCTCTTCTATAGAAACCTATTTGTTTGGAAGGGCTTGGTCAACACCCAGTGGTGCACAGGACTCTCTTGTGGTGCTTGGAATACCATTTATAGTGCTGGGCAAACACCGTAGCTCCGGTGTTAAGCTCCAGCTTGCATGCACTCTGTATCTAAGGTATTCTCACTTTCAGATCCCACTTCATCCAAGAGATTTGTTATCCTATAGCAAACTTAACTTTGTAGCTATTTTGGGGTCTTTCTCAATGTGCTCTTTGTATTACAGTTCTGTATTCCCTAGGTAATGCCCAATCTTCTTGTGTCTCAAGCTCTTTCCTCTCACATGACTGTAAAACACCAACCTTATCCCATGACCCCTGTGGAATTCTGATGTTATTATCATCAAGATATTTATGGAAACAATGGCAAGAATTTTCTGGGGAGAAATGCTTCAGATGTCTCCTAATCTTTATGATCTAAAGAGCAGGGCACTTTATTTTTTTAAAGGCAGCTTCATCCCTCTGGCGAAAGAGCAAGTCAGGTTTCCAGTTACAGAAATGGGGTTTCATTTTATTATTATTTTTCTTTCCTTCTCCCCCCTTTTCTGGTTGTTGTTTTTGTTGTGAAGACTGTGGTGGGGGGGGGGGTCACAAACAGTTGGCTGTGGTGATTGAGGACTTGGTTGTGGTAGTTCTGGAATCAGAAATGGGAGTATTGTTGGGATCTCAACATGGGGCCAGTGCTCAGGATTGAATTAATCACCTTACACTCTACAACTGGGCTGGAATGATAGCACAGCGGGTAGGGCGTTTGCCTTGCATGCAGCCGACCTGGGTTCGATTCCTCCGTCCCTCTCAGAGGGCCTGGCAAGCTACCGAGAGTATCCCACCCTCACGATGCAGCCTGGTAAGCTCCCTGTGGAGTATTTGATATGCCAAAAACAATAACAACAAGTCTCACAATAAAAACGTTATTGGTGCCCGCTCGAACAAATCGATGAACAATGGGAGGACAGTGCTACAGTGCAGTGCTACACTCTACAACTGGGCTCCCAATTAGGCATTTGGGGAAGATTATTGTCTTCAAATCCCATGTCTGAGCATAGGCACTGCATATTTTCTTTTCTATCATCAAGTTGCTTTCTCCAAGCTTCTTTGTAAACTGAGCTGCTCAGTACTGACGTAAGTACTGACTCCATTATGTTTTGCTTAGAATGTTTTTATAAGTTTGCTGCTTGATCTTTCACACAATCTCTAGCTGAGATTGATTACTTTTTTAGCCCATTGTTTATGACGAAAATTTAAAGCACATATAAAATCATAGAATAATGAGACCAATGTTTCACTCAGCTTCTACATTTATCAAGATAAGGCTCATCTTCTTTTCCCTGTCCACCCACAGCTCCCTCACTTCTTAGTATTATTTTGAAGCACAACTCATGAGTCAT